ACCAACCTGGTGTAGTGGAAGGTGTCCCTGCCCATGGCAGGGTTGGAACTAGATGAGCTTTAAGGTCCCTTCCAACCCAAGCCTTTCTGGGATTCTGTGATTTCCCAGCCTTCCTGTTACGCTTCCTGGTTGTATTTGGAGCATGCTCAAGGGATAGCTCTTGTCCAAGCTGCTTGGTTGGTAGATGCTGTGCTTGGACCACCTCTGTCTGTTCTTCCAACCCAGTGTGTAGTTGGTGTGTGCTTATGGCAGTGCAAAGGGGACTGGTCACCCAGCAGGCATCTGCCTGCAGTTGTGGTGCTGAGAGCTGGCTGCACAGGGCCACTGGAGACCATGTGCTGTGAGACAGGTCATAGGGCTGGAGAGGAACACTCCTGTCTCCTCCTTCAGGTTGTGAAATATCCCTTCACAGCTTTGCTATGCAACTGCTTGGGAATTAAACTGCTTTAAACCCTTACCTAACTCTTTCTGTTTTTCCCTGTTTGGGCTTTCAAGATGTGGCACAGTGTGCTGGTGAGCTGCTAGGGGCCCTGTTGGCTTTAATCAACTAGTTCAAGTGGTTGGTTTTCTTTAGGGGACGGCTGAAGGAGGAAGAATCTTGGCCTGGGCTGGGCTGAGGCAATAGGCTGGAGGCAGATGGGTGTGTTGGCCAGAGTTGGAATTAGAGGTAGGATTATATGTGGACAAAGTGGAGAGAAGCAGGGCTGAAAAGGCTTTGTGTGTCAGCAGGTAATGGATGGTCATTAGGTGCCAGAGGTGGGACCAGGCTTTGCTGAGCTGGGACGCAGGTAAAGCCTGGAGGGTGATTGCAGTTGTGTTGAGCAAGAAAATCACCATCATCTGCTTCAGTGCCTGCCTGGAGACATGGCAGCAAGGAGCTGGTGATGATGGAGAGGAGGGGGAGGTGGCCAGTCAAGTCCATCAGAGGGATGGAGGAGGAAATGGGCATCAGGAATGGGCGAGGTGGAGGTTGAAAGGGAATTCACCATGCTTAGGTGAGGAGAAAGTCCTAGAGCTGCGGGGTAGAATGGTCTCTGTGAACAGGGCTGGAAAAGTATGAATCCTACTCTCTGCTGGAGGTCTGGCATTCTGCTGTCTGTCTGCAGCTGGCCTCAGGGACTGGCTGGTAGGTGCTAACACCCTAAAGAAGTTTCGGTGCCACTGGGTGCAGTGAAGTGAGCAGCTGTGTGTGAGGGTGCTGGCTCTGCTGCGGCACCAGCAGCCGCCTTCCTTGCTCTCTGCTCTTCAGAAGCATGGGCAGCCCCAGCTCCTGCAGGTGCAGTGGTGGGGTGCATCCCCAAGGATGCATCCCTGACACAAACAGGTTGTAAACCTGCCTAACCCAAGCCCGAAAAGCATGAGCACAATCAATAGCTGCAGCCCAGCCTTGTCCTTGGGGAAAGCCTGAGGACAAGCAACAACTGGAAAACAAATCTGCCGACCACCAGAGCCTGCTGCTGGCAGAGAGAGGAGCCTGTTCCTCCCAGGCTGCCTGCTGGCATGGCTCCAGGCACAGCCGGGCTCCTGTGTAGGTCACCCCTGTGCTCGCTGCCAGCTTTCCCTGCGTCCTTGCTGAAGAGGTGGAGGAGACACGTTAGCAGAGGAGCGCGGGACCATGTCTGCTGGGGAACACGTTCTGACACCACCCTTTCTACTTCTGTGCTCCATGGATGTGTTTTGACAGCGTAATGCTTTGAGGGCCGTGACAGCCCAGCCTGAGCACTGAGCTCTTGCCTCTCTCCCCTCTCCAAGAAAAAGGACGTCCAGGAGGCCAAGCTCTTGCCTGCTGGAGAGGGGAGCGTGTCCTGCTGTTGCACAGCACAGCAGCCAGCTGGTGTCCAGCCCAGCAGGCTCCTTCGGGCTGGTATCACTGCTGACTTGGATGAGTCACAGCTGATTTCCCCCTTACCCCCCCTCCTTGTGTTGCTTGCAAGAAAGATCTGTTTTACATATAATACAGTAATCAGGGCTTGACATAAATAGGCAAATGTTATTGTCTGTGGTGGGAATTGCACCTGCTGGCAGGAGCAATGAATGCAGCCCATTATGCACTGGGGTTGATCATTTGTGCAATGAAGTACAACTACATTTCTTGCTGTGTTCTTGTGTGAGTCTTTATCTCAGTGGCCGCGAGCACGTCAGCAGATGTGCCATCATCACCTCCGAGTCTGTCCTCGCCCTGGGAGCCAGAGCAGCCTCTGTTCCTGCAGCTGTGACCACCTCTCTCCTGGAAAGGTGGAGAAGACCAAGATGTTCAGCTTGAGAGATGTCCCTGCTCTGGTGCTGGCTGCATGACAAAGCCCAGCAGCCTCATCCCCCAGTCCTGAGGCTGCACTTCTTGGGCAGGAGCATCCTGCTCCCAGGAGGCACAGGACCCTGGATGGATGCCTGGATGCACAGAGCGTATGGCTGTTGTTTATTGACTTTGCTGCAGGAAAGGTGGCAGAAATCTTACCAGGTGAGCAGGTATGAACAGCAGTGCTTTGGAGCAGAGGGACTTGCAAGACTGGCTTAGCTGTAGGCTGCTCATGTGGAGTCTGGGCTTCCAGCACAATGAGATTTCTCCAATAATAATAAACAGAGGTTGTCTTGGTGCTGGAGTCTGGGATTATGTTGGCTAACGTGGATCCAGCAGCTCAGAACTGCTGCATCCACAGCTTAGGAGAGGGTTGGAAGAGAGGCAGTGCAGGGAGATGAAGCAGGAGACACATACACACTCTTTATGGAGTGAAAAAGTTAAACAAATCCTGTGGGAATGCCAAAATGTGCAGGATGCTGCATGTGCAGGTATTTCTGCTGGGCCAGCATCAAGGGGCAGGGAGGACATTGAGCTTAAAGAGCATCAGCATTAGAGCAGGAACAAGCAGATCACAGGCTTTGCTTGCTGAGCTAAGTGAAAACGCTTGTTCACTCCATGGTAGAAATTGCTGTTTATTAGAAAAAAATTCATAAATAAAATAATTTCGTGTTGTGATTTATATTTTGCAGTTTAAGAGCAGGGGAAAAAACTAATCCAGTAGGAGCTGTGTGTAAAGTGGCACTAAGCCTTACCCATTGCTTTGTTTGTCACATGATTGCAAATCTGAAGTTGCAGACTTGCCTTGGTCCTTTAACTTCCCAGCTCCCACCCCCAAACAACAGCCTGGACAGTGCCTGAGTAAGTTCCCAGGGATCATCTGGGAACAGATGGAACAGAAATTGGATTAAAATTTGGGGGGAGGGGGGAAAACAGAGGGGAAGTTTAACAGATAATGTGCACTTTTCGTCACTGATATGAGGAGAATCTCTCCATGCAGCATCTTCCCTCCAGTGCTGCCCACAGGACCCCTCCATCCCTGCCACTGTCATTGCTGGGCTTAGCTCCCTCCTGCCTTCCTGCAGGTTGGGAAAAGCCCAGGGACAGTAAATAGTGAAGGGTTAGGAGGAACAGACAGTTCCCAGTAAGTGCATTCCTATCGCCACCGGTCACAGTCTGGTTCCCTATTAAAGGCTCTGATAAGGAAGCTGGAATCCCTTTTAACTCTGATCCGTTCAGAGATAAGTGGGTTTAGACATAAACAAGTGCTTCTGTCACCGGCAGCTCTCAGGCACACAGCTGCAAGACCTCGGGTTAGCCCCGAGTGAGGTCCCTGAGGTCCCACCACTGCTCCTGGGGGAGTTGATCAGACAGCTGCATCCCCATCTGGAGGGAGAAGAGAATGACTTACTCTTCCTCCCTGGTAAAGGTCTTCTGCACAGCTCCACAAGCTTTTCTGGGGGAAGGAGAGGGGAGAAGATGTAAAAATAAAGAATGATGTCTTTCAGCTGTTACCAGGTTTTGAGGTGAAGTGAAGTCACCTTCCTGGGCTTGTTTTCTCCACGGGGCCCCGTGAGATCATTTTTTTCCCTCAAATTGGGAGAAATTAGAGCAGAACTGTGCTGAGAAAAGCATTTCTCTCAGGCCTCAGCACTGCTTTGGAGGTAAGAGGAGCATGAGGGTGGCTGCTCTGTCCTGCAGCCTGGCTCCCCACCCTGCCTGGCATCCCCTGGCATGGGCATGGAGCTGGCATCAAGACACCAGCCCAGACCACAACACAGGGCTGGTTAGTTGCAGGAGCAAAGAGAGCCCAGCCCCCAACACCAGTAGACCTGGGACAACAGAAACTGGCACTATTTGGTTTAACCTTTCCCTGGGTTATTGCATCTTCCCTTTTAGACTGGCTTTTTGGGTAGAGTTCCTGGCTCCTTGGGACTCTGATTAGACCACGTTGTTTCAGGCTTGAGGCAGTTCCCAGTTGCGTGGGTTTAAACCTCTCCAGTGTCACTGTCCACTCTGATGTCTCCTACAGCTCCTCGTCCGACAGGATCAGAACTCTCTTCTCAATGTTTTTGCTCTTTCTGCCACTCAGTCCCTCTGCCCTGGAGGCCGTGTGCCCGTTCTCCCCCGGTGCTTTGCGCTCTGCCTCCTGCATTGACTGCTGGGTGTACTGCTGGTACGCAGGGGAGAAGTTGTGGATCGCGTCCTGCACGATGTCCTGGGGGCTTATGGTCTCCTTCAGCCCGCTCGAGATGCTCTGCATTGGGGCAAGGTTTGCTGAAAAACAGGGAGAGGGGACAGTGATGGAAGTTTTCCTTGAAAATTCCATTTCAGGGCCTCACCATGAGCCAGGTCAGCTTGTGGAGGAGAGTGCCAAGGAGGAGAAAGACAACCCCAGCTCCATCTTTCAAAAAGGATAGAACCTCTCTAGCACCATGGGCTGTAATACTATAAACCCCTAATTCTGCCCATCCACGCCAAGGTTTATTTTTTTAATCAACTTGCTGTGGCATCAGGAGGAAACAGGGAGAAGGAACTCATGGAGCACAGGAAAAAGAAACTCCTCTGGTGGTCTTTAGCATCTCATTGGTAATGCTATAAGGTGGAGTGTCCCTTTTAAGTTTTCATCAATAAAGGAAGGAAGAAGAGAGAAATAGGTACCTGTGGAGTTTTCTTTCTTTTCTCTGTACACCTGGCAGGTGAATGCATAGCGCAGGGCAATGGAAGCAAAGAGCATCTCAATGCAGATGATGAAGTTCTGGTAGCCAGCAGCTACTGTCCCAGCTCCCACCTCCTTCCCATCAATGATCTGAACTTCAGGGATCACTCCGCATTTCTCCAGGATTGCAAGCAGCGTCCCTGTGCAGGGGAAGGGAGAGGATTCAGCTCTGGTCCTGCATCCCTGGGTCAGGTAAAGCTATGGAAGGAGAAGACCTGGGCATCCATGGTGGGACCCACCTTGCCAGAAGGAGAGAAAGATGACTGCCTTGATGGTGATGAACTTGAGGACTGGTTTAAAAGGGCGCAGCAGATCCATGGTGGCAAAATAGAAGAGGAAAAGGGCGTAAAGTGCCAGGCTGACCGAGAAGTTGTAGATTATGGTGATGTAGAGGTAGCCACTTTGGACACTGTGGGAAGAGAGAGAGCTGCTGCCCTGGGCTGTGGGAAGTGAGTCCAACAGGAGGGAAAAATAAATGGACGGGGAGAAGTTCATGGCTTTGACATGGGGGGAAGCACAGCCCGGGAGGGGAAGGAGGGGCAGGGAAAAAGAGGGAAACGGGGTCACTCTCAGCTTTTCTTCTACTGGTGGGACCTCCTTTATTACAGTTCATGGGAATTTTGATCCTTTCGTATTTGGGGGCAGTGAGTTGCCATTCCCCAGTGCTTTGGGCTCCCTGTGCTCTCGCTATCTGTGGAGCAGCTCCCTGGGGGATGTTGGCAGGACACCCCATCCCTCGTCCTGGAGCAGAGACCCATCCTGCTCCCTTCCCCCTCCCCAGCCCGACCCAGCATCCTCACTTGAAGTCCCCGTCGTGGTACTTCCCGAACGCCTGCAGGATGATGGTGACGATCGCCATGAGGGGTTTCACGATGCAGAATTGCAGCGTGGCCTGCACAGGGGAGAGACACGGTGCACCCCGGGCAGCAGGGATGTCCCACCAACCTCCCTGCAGCTCCTGCCACCTCTGGCTGCTCCACATGAGTCAACCCCTCTGCTCACGGGACAGACACAGAGGAGAGAGCAGCCCTCCTTCACAGATGGGGTGAGACAGGGAACTGGCTAAAGGTCTGCAGGTGGGATGGAGAAGAGCTCCCAAAAGGCAGCTCCTGAAAGGCAGCAGCCACTCTGAGGGGGGAGACCCGGTGCCTTGAGGACAGACTGGTGTCAGGATTTGAGTCATAGCCCAGCCCTGGAGCGTTAGGGAGCTGCTGTCCAGGCTAACCTGGGGCTGGGCAGAGATGGCAACCTCAGCTCTGCAGTGGGAGAAGACCCTGACTCAGCAGTGAGTCAGAAGCAAGGGCAGCACGCAGTGCCCTGCTGCTGGCCGGGTGCCGGCGAGCCGGGTGAACTGCCTCCCTCGGAGGGAAAAAAAACAACAACCCAAAAAGAGCATCTCAGGAGAGAGAGGCAGCGGAAACCTCTCGGCAGGGAGGCGGGGAAGGGGCCTGACACCGCCCAGAGAGCCCTTAACCCTCGCTGCAGAGGGGAGGAGAGCGGAGGTACCTGCTTGCAGAAGCGCAGGAACCCGATGGAGTAGGACATGCCCTGAAGGCAGCAGGTCCCGTAAAAGCAGCTGGACCTGAAAGCAGAAGCCGAGGAGATGCCGCTGGGGCTGCTGGATGAGGAAAAGGGGCGGAGGGTCGAGGGACACACGGCAGACAGGGACTTACACAATCGGCTTCCCTCGGATCTCTGACATGATGGTGCTTTCCCCCCCGAGATACTCGAAGCACAGGCTCAGGAAGCTGTAAATCACAAAAGCTGGCAAGGCAAGAGCAGACATGATCAGCAGGGCTGATGGAAATCCAGGGGGAAATTGTTACATTTCACATTCCTTCCTGCTCAGGTTTCTTCTCATCCACCCTCGAGCATCATCAGGATTTGGGACACTGCTGGTTGGGAGCCCAGCAAGAGCTGGTGCCCAGCAAGTAGCAGGTCCTGAATATTTGTCTTGGATATCCCTGTCACTTATTTTGCATATACTCCAACCTGAAGTATTACACAGGCCCACATCTCTGTTCCCCAGGGCAGAGCAACAGATGGAAGAGCAACCTCAACCCTGATGAGCTTCCCCTGCACCTCAAAACATCCCAACTGCCCAATTTCTTAGGCACATCAACTTCTGCTTTAGAGAAGCTACATTTCTACCCCAAAGACAGCCAGAAAACCCCTTTCCCCAGGAGCATGACACTGGGGTCCCTCTGAGCCTGGGTTCCTCTGGCAGAAAGGCATCAGCTCATGTCTGTCTGTAGGGCATCCCCTCCTTGCTGCCAATGGAGAAGGAAAAGAAAACCTCTGCATGGAGGAAGGGAGCATGGGAAGTGAAAGAAAAGGAGGTTTGCCACTTTGTGCAACCCAGGACACTCCAGAGACACAGGTCAGCAAGATGAGAGCCCTGCTTTGCCACCAGCCTCCCTGCCCTCACCTTCATAGCAGTCGCGCACTGAGTCGAAGTAGACGTAGTACTGGTGGCTGCCGAGGAGGAGGAGGCTGAGCCAGGAGTCGAAGGCATAGATGGGCACGATGAAGAGGATGCGGATGATGTAGCGCTGCTCCTTGGGGACCGTGTAATTCTTCAGGTGTGTGTAGATCTGCAAAGTGTCCAGTGTGCAAAGCTGCAGCTACCACTGGTCAGGAGGGGAACCAAAGGTTCTCCAGCCTAGGGGGGGGGCTGCAGGAGGCTCATCCCATGTTGACCCACCTCCCAAGGGTGAGAAAAACTACCTGTTTTCCACCACAGACCCATAGCAGTGAACAGACATGTGAGACAGGCTCCATCCCAGGGCAATCCCTCCACAAAGCCATGTGGAAATCAGGCCTCTTCCCCAGTGCTGTGTGAGGAACATGCCCCGCTGTGTGCCAGCCCCTCTGGAGCCCTACCCTAGTGGGGCACAGCACCCAAAACCATGCCCACTGGCAGTAAATTTCAAGGCAACACACAGCCCAGAGGCACAGACCCCGGAGTGCCAGATGAGAAACCTCACTGGGTGTTGCCTCCCTCCAGGCAGTGCTGGTGCCCTGCAGCCTCTCCTGGCTCTAACAGCCACCCTGGGAGTGCGTGGGCAAAGTCCACCCTCCTGAGCTGCCAGCACCGGGCACCTGATGGTGGAGATATCCCCTCCAGGCTGCAACAGGAGGAAATATTTATCTAGAGGTGAGTGATTTGCAGTGAACTTGGGGCAATCAATAAATTCGCCCTTGCATCACAGCCAGCACTGAGCTCCATCTGTGCTCCATCCTGTACCTGGTGGAAGGTGACGATGAGTGCCGACCACACAAAGATGCCGGAGATGGCCTGTGCTGCTGTCGTGGTCAGGAAAAGCTGCTGGCCATCCTCAGAGTCATTGTGGGCAGCCGTGAGCAGGACGAGGGCTGGGGATGGGGGAGCTGAGGCCAGCCTGGCTGCTGTGCTGGGCTCCAGGGTGCCGGTTGCCACAGGAGAGGGCAAGGCATGCGTGGCATTACTCATCTGCTGGGAGGGAGAGGCAAGGGGAGGGGTGCAGGAGGGCAGGACTGAGGTAAGCTGGTGAAGAGAAAGGTCCATCAGATTTCCCAGCTTACATGAGTGTGGACAAACTTCCTGGGAGGTTTATCTCCTCCTCAGGGTGTTCCTCACCCAAGCCAACCTATACACCATGGTTGGGTCTGCTTCTCCCAGTGGGAAAACACAAACATCCTTCAAAAGCAGACCCTCTTTTCTCTGGGGAGATGTGTGTGAAACTCATGTCTCCCAAAACACATACTTCCCAGTCTTGTTCCTCCTTGTTTTCTCAGGGGCCACTATCTCACTTGAATGGGAAAAACCTTCCTATGTTTGTGCCCCTGTGAGTTCACACTTGTGACTCAGGGCCCTTTTCCACCTGGAACTACAGATGTCAGTGTTAAACTCATTCCTCATCCATTAGAATACTGAGCCCCTTGCAGCAGGGCATCAGGACACTGATGTCCTCCTTAGGAGCCCAGAAAACACTGGGATCCCTGGGACTGCCCCCTACCCCCAGTTTGGCTCCCTTCTTTGTGCATGGCCTGCTGGGGACAAGCCATGCAAAGAAGCCAGAGATGTGGCTTCACCCAGGGTGTTGGGCCAGCCTTGGATGTTTGGGGATTGTGGGAGTCTCAGTGTACCAACAACACCAATGCTGAGACCTGAAGGGCCTACAGCAGTCTCTCCTACACCCAAACTGAGCCCAGGGGAGCAACCCTGCCATGCTACATGCAGAGCTGCTGCCCTTTGGGGATGCTGAAGAGCTCTGGGTCTCCCCAACAGGTCTGTCCTCCTCAAATCTGGTCACCCCAAGACATTAAGAATGCAGAATGCCCAGCAGAAAGGGTGGCTGGGGGATACAGGCACCACGTACGGTGCAACTCCAGACAGCAAGGACCAACCTAATAATACACTCTTATTTATAGACAGCTTCCTATCTCAAGGCCAACAGATGCATAAACTGCCATGTTTGGCTTTTCCTTCTGCTAATCTATGGAAAGCAACTTTTCCCAAGTATAACAATAGAAGTTTAAAAAAACCCCAACCAACCACCTGTGAGCAGAGCTCTAACAATATAGATACTGTGTTAATAAACAAAGATTTTAGCTGCTGGGTAACTATCGCCTGGGGGTAACACTGTAAACAGGAGCTGGTGAGAGGCAAAAAGTATCTGCCACAGATAAGAGTGGTAGGCAATGACCTCAATCCAATTCAACACAGAAAACAAACCAAAGCAGGAGTTCACCCGGTGGTTTCCTCTCCTGCCCTCTCCCCGAACCCCAGCCTCGCAGGGAAGGAAACTCAGCTGGTGTCAGAGATCAACAGCCCTAAAAATACCTCCCCCACCTTCTGCCTGGCAGGAGCAGCCTGCAAGAGGAGATGCCCGGTGCCATGGTGTGCTGGCAAGGTCCCAGGAGCTCACCCCGTACCTGCGAGCCGGGCAGCGGAGCCGGAGGCGGCTGGTGGGGAGAGCGGGACCGATAGTGTTACAGGGGCAGCGGGCTCTGCCTCCCTGCAACCATCCCCGGCCCTGCCTGGGCCAGCAGGAAGCAGGATCCCAGAGAGAGCAGGGGAGGGATCTGGTCTTTGGACAGAAGGCAACAACACCGGACCTGCCTTGTAAACATTAACAGGAGGACGGAGGTAACGCACGGTGCGGGGAGGGAGGCAAAGCCCAGCTGTGCCCCGTTCCCCACCACGCCTCGCTGTCCACGAGCGCTGCCCTGCTGCTGGCTGGGGTTGTGTGGCTGGATTTGGCCACACTTTCCCTCTGCCAGAGCATCACCGCAGGGAAGGCTGGGATCCAGCTTGCTTCCCAGGACAGGGCAGAAAGCTGTGGTGATTGCTAGACCCATTTATTCTGTTTCTGACCCAGCGCTGTGCCACAGATGCTTGGCCCAAGACATCCCAGTTCCTATTAGCTTTCCCAGCCATTGCAGTACAAGCACAGTGGCACCAGCAGCCAGTCCTGGCAGGCTCCCCTACATTGTCACACTCTGAACGTGGCAGAGCAAGTCATTAAATACAAAAGCCTCCGTGCCACTTGGAGCCAGGGCTCCCAGCTCCAGAGGTAATTAGATCCCGGCTGTGCAAGGTACCTGGGCAATTCAATGCAGCTAGAGGGCCACTTGCTTCTGAAACAAAGGCAGTAAAGAGATGCAAAGAATAATACTAACTGCAAAACTCGGCTCCTAGATGGGACTGCACCAGTGCCACATCCAGTCTGGCAGTTTTGAGACACCTTGCAGGTACCTAGCACACACAGTCTACCTGTTTCACTCACTCCTTGGGCTATTGGAGATGCTAAGTAAGTGCTAAGCAGAAAAGAAACTGAGCAGTGACACCTGTGTTCAGACAGGCCACCTGCAAACCGGGCTTTTCAATTCCCTGGGGGTTCCCCTCCAACCGTAGGCTGCTAAAGCCCTGGCTCCCATCCCTCCCAGCATCCTGAACCACCCAGGAGAAATCCCCACATCAGCAGCCCCCGTGGGGCTGGGATGGTCAGAAAAGAAAGGCAAGCACCTGCAGCCACCCAGCAGTGCCTCTGCGGTGCTGGATGTGTGCCCTGGTAAAGGGGGGAAATCCCTGACCCCCACCCTGGGGACAGGAGCAGTCAAATTGAGCCCCAGCAGCGCAGGAGACATGCCCTTCCACCTGACTGCTTCCACATAAAGTAGAGACACAGGGGTTATTTACCTGCCCGGCATCCCTGTACACCATCCCCGTGCGGCCCAGCAGGAAGGACCTATAGCACCCAGCTGAAATTAAGGCAGGGCAGCACCAAACCCACTTTAAACCCAGTGACGTACACACGGGGCTCTCACGGCAGGCTCTTCCCTACCAACTGCTCCCACGACTGGTTAGGGCAACCTCTGCTCCGGGACAGGTACCCCCAGCTGCTGCACACCCCCCAGGGTCCCACTCACCCTGCGGGGCTCCTCCCTGAGCGGGTCTGGCTGCCATGCACCTGCCTCCGCATCCCCTGCGCCCTCCTCCACCCGCGGGAGACTCCTCCTCCGGGCACCCTCCCAGCCCTGCCTGCTGGCAGAAGGCCCTGCCAGTGCCCTCCTCACCCTCGCTGCTCCCAGGAGCTGGAGCAGCAGGTTGGGCTTCACCTCCTGGGGAAAAGCTACCGAACTTACCTTTCCAGTCTGCCGTGCTCGGCACCCACGCCCAGAACGCAAACACGGATGGGAAAGCCATGGTGCAGCCCGATGCTGCTGCCACCAGGCCAGCCTGTGTCCCATGGCTGGGGCTGGGAGCTCTGCCTGGGTAGCAAATGCAGGTTTTCCTGCAATTGGGAATGAATCCTTACCTAGAGGACAACGATGACTAAATGACAGGCAGCTGGGGCCGCCAGGAGACTTGTGCCTGTATTTTGGGGCAAGCCTCTCCCTTGGTTTGCTGCAGAGCAGAGGAGCAAAGTCAAAGGTCTGATTGCTCGTGGTCTAATTTATCCCTCTGTGGAAAGGCAGCAAGATAAGTCTGTTCTGGCTCTGAGCACCAAATGGGAGAGCATTCCATGTCCTTTCTTTACCCACCACCCTGCGCAGACACGGTGCCACAGAGAACCAGGAAATGAGGTGGTTAACTTGTGGTCAGTTTGTAGGTAGTAACACTCAGGTCTTCAGGGCATGGTGGTAGTACACCACCATATCACCATGGCAGGAGATGTGATTTGCATTCAATTTGCTAACTCATGTATGGTTTACACAAGTTGCTGGAGCTATAGACACCATGAGAGCACCAGGATTTGGAAATTACATTGAATGCTGTGTTGGGAAAGAATCCCTGCTAGCAAACCAGGACTGACATTAACAAATGCCACATGCCTTTCTCAGCTCTCCTAGACTGAAAAAAACCCAAAAAACAAAAGTGTAAAAGGGAAAATTTGGAGTTCTGACAGATGCAAATCTTTGATTCTTGGAAGCCCAGTTTGGAAAATTATTTTTAGATTAAATTTCTTGTCAAGGGCAGCTGCAAGACTGCAGTGCTCATTCGCACTTTTTAAAAAAAGCTTTGTTTCTCGTAAACCCTTAAATACTGTAAATAACCCTCACTTCAGAGAACAGACTCCTTTCGAAATGCATTTTCTGCTTTTCTACTTTTAGGGAATTTTTTAGCAACAGAAATGACCCAGCAACTGGATCTACATGGGGCAGGCACTGGCTCTGTGCTGAAATTAATGGGTCTTAACACAAGTCTTCCCTGCGCAGAATCCACGACTTGGCCTCTGGCTGCTCAGTCAAGTTAATTAAATGACATAACTTAAAACTTTACTGCTTGGTGTTGTCACAAGAAGAGGTAAAAACAAACATTCCAAGCAAGTGGCAGAAGTTTGGCTATCAAGCTTTGCATAAACACACACAGCTTCACCCAACGGTTTTCTTTCAACAGATTCAGAAGAAACACCCTTGTTTAACCCGCCCAAATCCTTCTGTCCCCATGTCTCCTATGTCCCTTAGGAGAGGGCCAGCTCATTGCAGGTGGTCCAAGCTACGTATGTGCTGCTTTTCAATGTGCTGGTACCATGGAACCCAAAAGCAGCTGTTGTCTTTTCTCTTACCACTAATTTGGGTTCCTGTCTTCCACCCTTCCATCAGCTTTCTTGAAATTTGCAAAGCATAATTATCTGCCTCTCTTTAAAATGTGAGTGAAAGTGGAAAACTGATTCAGACTACATCAGGAAAGGGACTGACAGAAGGACAAAGACAGTCATATAGGACTCATTTCCTTACAAACAGGCAAGAAAAATCTTTCCTATTATGCAACTGCTGTTGATTTGTTACCGAGGTTTGTATTTCAATTGAAGTGATTTTAACAGAGCAAAAAAATAAAAGAGGTAAAATTAGATTTCTCAATGTTCCTTTTATTCACTCTGCACTGGGTGTTCCCCCTTTGCGGTGCAGTGGAGCTACAGAGCTTGGCATCCATCACTCCTCAGGACACACAGGCAGAGCTGTGCCACTTCTCAAATATACATCCCACCCAATGGGATAAAAATAACACCTCTCTTGTACGTTGAGACGATTGTTCTCGTTCCATCACTGACTGTATGAACCGTAAACCTGTCACTGTAACAAAGCCCACAAATGTTCTACACAGTAGAGAAAAATTCATGACATTCCTCAGTAAGTCCAAAACCAGCACAAAGACATTCCATCATTTTCATTTCTTGTCCTTTTAAGTCAGTGGTGATGAGTCACGGACTCAAGATCATTTCCTTGAATCCAGATGGCACAGCTTCACCACACTTGGCAACTCCGGATCACTTCCCGTAGAGCTTGTATTCCTTCCATGGTCTTGTCCTTTAGAGCCATGGCAAGAAGGACAGGTTTGTTCCCGGCTTCCTGAGAGACAAACGCCACCAGGTGTTTGGCACAAACATGGACGAGGGGCTGAAAAGCAAAGGTATACAGATGTGCACTCTGGCAGCTGGTTAGGAGAGCAGTTAGGAGAGGAGGAGCCCTGCAATGACATGGAGCACACTGGGAACCTGTTGATGATGGCCTGACTGTGAAGTTTGCTGAAGAAATTCTTTACTGTGAGGGTGGTGAGACACTGGAACAGGTTGCCCAGAGAGGTTGCGGATGTCCCCTTCCTGGAAGTGTTCAAGGTCAGGTTGGATGGGGCTTGGATCAACATGGTCTAGTGAGAGGTGGCCCTGCCCATGCAGGGTGGTTGGAACTAGATGATCTTTAAGGTCCCTTCCAACCCAAGCCAGCCTGTCATTCTATGACTAGGAACAGACAGGCAGTTTGGCTGCTCAGCAAAGCCAAGCCATAGTACAGAAAACTTTAAAAAGCACTTTCTCAGCCAACTCCAAAGGGAAGAGTTTGGGCCCGTGACTGACAGCCACCCAAACCACCCTGAAATAACTTAACTGGAGCTGCACTTGAGTCGAGTTTTGCACCAGTTTGGAAAACTTGGAAAGCTGGTACAGAGAACCTTTCCATCCACTAATCTCCCCACCCAAACTATACCACCCAATAACAAATTCCATGAAATGCCACTCATCAAAATACCTCTATTTTGATCACAGCCAGATTTCTGAAGTTGAAAGTACAATTTTCATATGAAAACTTGTTGCTGAGGAGGCTACATTCCACTGACAAGCTCTGGATAAAACCTGCTATTTTTGCAATCCCTAGACTCCAAAATGGTGCTACATACAGTCTTCACACTCCATGTGTAAAAGACCTGATTTTAACAGAACAATGAAAACCAGAAATAAGCAGTGAGGCTGGAGGGAAGAAAAGAGATATGAACTTGTAAATGAGGTTTCTTTAACAAGAATACCCAGCTTGTAAATTTTATTTACACCCACGATCAGAAGGATGAGTTTGCTTGATTTTAGCTACCAGTGTGGTTTGGAAATGTGTACAATTCCAAACTGGAATGTTAATGACAAGCAGGAAGGCAGCAAACTAGTGAAAGCCTTTTCTTAATGTTTACACCAATTAATATGGATGGAAGAATGAGAATTCCATAAGGGGAAACAGTAGATACAAACAGGGACCTTGTGCTGCTAGAGTTTTTCTAGTTAAGGTTAGCAAGTAATATTTAGTATCTCCAACCCTGATGGAAAACCTCATAATCTTGTAGCTCTGTAACTTTCTGTTTTAATGCTTGACTAGCTGACACTTTGTGAAATTATTTTTTTTCTGCTTTCTCCTCAGCTTTGTGAAATGGTTCATAAAACCTCGTTTTGTTGAAGCAAAACAAATTAACCTTATCAAGGGTAGGTTCTGGCAGACACATTTGGGAGAGGGCAACTAAATTCCATTATGGGGCTGGCACAGACCATGGGGGGGATGGGGGGGGGCACATGAAGAGGGACTTGAAAATGAAAACAAACTCACGGGCACAGAAACTCAAAAAAAAGATGATCAAAGGCTGCATGTTTGATCTTGCAACCCTTCAATCAACAGGCCCTTTACCAAACCTTCCATAAATAAGGCGAAGTAACCCATACCCTGTAGGATACAGAACAACAGATCCCCAAGGCGTGCACTGTTAGTTCAACTCCTGCACCGACCAAGAGCCTACGAGCGCCCACACTTTTCCGACGGACCCCTCCGGATTTTGACACTAATCCCACCCACTGTGGAAACCCCACCTCATCCCTGCCCCACTGCCGTGACTCACCGACCCCCTGGCAACTTGCACAGCCCCACCGACCCCGTGTCATAGAATCATAGAATCTTAGGGGTTGGAAGGGACCTGAAAGATCATCTAGTCCAAACCCCTCTGCCAGAGCAGGGTCACCTAGAGCACATCACACAGGAACGCATCCAGGTGGGTTTTGAATGTCTCCAGTGAAGGAGACTCCACAGCCTCCCTGGGCAGTCTGTTCCAGTGCTCTGTCACTCTTACAGTAAAAAATTTTTCCGGATATTCACCTTGAACCTCCTATGCTCCAATTTACACCCATTACCCCTTGTCCTATCACTGGTCATCACTGAGAACTGTGTCCCCCCCCAATCCCCGCTGCCCGGGAGCTGCTCTCCCCGCTCTCACCTCGTCCTTGCCCAGCAGCACCCTGGTGCTGAGCGAGGGCCTCCCCACGGCGTCACCCACCGCGCTGGGGTGCAGGTAGACCAGGGTGCCCATCTTGCCGTACTGCGTGACCAGCACCAGGACGGAGTTGGAGAAGGCCGTGCACACCACCTGCGTGGGGACCCCGCGAACCACCTCCTCTCGCTGCTTGGACGTCACGATGGGACTCGCTGCCATCGCTGCGGGGAGGAAACAAAACAAAACCAACGATAAAACGACGCTGAACTACAGAATGACGTTAAAAAAAACCGCACAAGGCCGCGGGCTATAAAAAAAAAGCCCAAATCCGGGTGAAG